CGCCCCTCCCTTCCGCGGCCCAGGGGGTCCCCATCCCTCAGAGCCCCTCCAGCCCCTGGCCCGGAGTCCCCAACTTTCCCCGCGCCCCTCACGGCCCCTCCGATTTCCCCGCAGGCTCTCGGGCGGGAACACACTTCGCAGAGACTTTTCCCCGACAAACTTCCAGAAGCTCTGGAGGACGGTGAGTTTCTGCACGGCCCGGCTGCCCGCCACCCGCTCAGGCCCAGGCCTCCGTGGGAGGGAGGGAGCGAACCGAGGGGGCGTCTCCCCCCAACGGCAGCTCCTGGAGGCGGTAAAACCGAGGGGGTGGGGAGAGTGGGGGGCGGGTTTCCCGGGCGCCTCCGGGCTCGAGTCACTTCCGGTGCCCTGACCTTTATAGGAGTAAACAGACCCCCTTCATCTCCGCCTCCCCTCTGCCCAGGTGACTGCCTAATCCCCTGTCCCGAGGAGAAAGCGCTGGCCAGGGTTCCTGGGCCGGCTGGGAGGGTGGGGGTCAGGTGGGGGCCGCCTAGGGAAGGCCGGGACCTGGATCTTCGCAGCACTTGGCACTGGGCACCTCCATCCCGCTTCTTCTCACGAACTTGAAGGGGACCCCTTGGCAATTCTTGCTTTTCTCTCGAGAGCAGACAGCCTTCAGCCCTCGCTGCTCGGGCTGGCGTGTCTGACCCAGCTGTGGTTTTTCCAGGCCTGAAGGCCCCGGAGTGCGCTAGCAGCATGTACAAAGACACCGTCTACTCCGCTTTCAATCTGCTCATGCACTACCCGCCCCCCTCGGGAGCAGGGCAGCACCCCCAGCCGCAGCCCCCACTGGTAAGTGGCCCTAGCCCCGCCGGGTGCCTGCGACCTCCTTGACCAGGTATGTGAGGCCCGGGCAAGAAGTGACTTTCGCTTACAACAAAATAGATACGGGAGAATTCCGTTCTGGTCTGTCTTCCCATTCATGCCGAGCGGGATCTGAACCAGAGGAGAACTGTGCTGAAGGAAGGAGGGGTGGCCCTGGGCACGCCACTTCCCCGCTGGCTGTTGGCTTTTGTCTTCCCAGCTTGCCCACAAGCAGGTGTAGGCCTTATCCTGGTGCTTGGTGATGCTGGGGTGTAATCTTCTCACAGTACATTTGTGCTGAGATCCATCCCCCCGACTCCTGAGGGTGGTGTGCATAGTGTGGTCTGAGCTGTGAGCTCTGTAGTTAGCCTCCCCCCTAAAGCCCGAAGCCCCAAGCCTTGGTTCTGGGAGGAACCCGCAGAAAAGCTGGTGGGCTTCAGATTTCCTGGTTGTGGATCGCTACTTGCTCTGTCCTTATTGGCATGAGTGCACCATGCAACAGAAAGCCTAAACACCATGTGTGGAAAGTGAAGCTGGCTTGGTCTCAAATGCACCACGAAAGGTTTGTTGAGGTGTTTCAAATCAGTAATGTTGGTAAAGGGCCTGTTTGATGAATTTGCAAATTAAGTATGTTTACATACCCAGTGGTTTGAAAAGATTTCATGATCATTACAAACCATGCTTTTCTGACCATTGGAGCAGATGATCTCAAGTGTGAAGAGCCTACTCTGAGTGCTTTGGAGCAGTTAAGCTGCACTTAAAAAAAAAAATTCAGATTAGTGTTTCAGATTGTCCTCGGGTAGCCCAAGTTGGGGTGAGGTTAGAGCTCCTAGAGTACATGAAAGGTCTGGGGGACTCTCTTTGGCGGATGTTGGGTGCATATGCGGGCACAGTGTAGGTGGGTCCCACAGGTGCAGGCCCTATCCTGGCTCACATGGCTCATGGTGGGGGTCACCCAGAAGGAGGAGGGTGACTGCCTGGCTTTCTGATCTGGAGATGAGGGTTTCATGCTGAAGGCAGTGGGAGGTGAGATGACAGATTGAGGCTTCCCTCTAGAAACCCAGGATGGAAAGCCTTGTAGACAGCTGACTCAGGAAGTAAGCTCCTTGCCCTCTGCACCCCTATTTTCTCATTTCTAGAAGGAGCATGTTGGATGAGTGTTCTATCTCTTTCTGCTCGGGGGTGGCTCTATCTAGATGTTTGCTTCCTTTCAAGTCTAGCGGGGAGGGGGCTGACCACTGACCTTGCCACCTGATGCTGCAGCTCTCCTGAGAGACCTCTGCCCCACAGGAGCAGATGCTTAACAAAGATGCTTTCGGGGCCCCTTAGAAGGAGCAAGCCCTTCGATTTGGGGCCAGGTTGACATAACTCACTACTGCCAAACCACTGGCAGGTGAGTTGCTTGCTTACATGGTCAGGGGGCTTGAGTCACTGTGATAACCCTGACTAGACAAAAGGCCTAGGCCCGAGAACAAGCCTAGCAGGGCAGGCTCCCCTCCTGCTTCTTGTGAGTCCACAGTGGTGCAAGGAGAAGCAGTGTTTCCGAGTTCCTCTCATGGCATGGGCAAGTGGTGGGAGAGTGCCCAGAGAGGGAGGGCCTCGTTCTCTGTAGGGGTGTGATGCTGAGACCATTTGGTGTCCTTTAGTTCACATTGGTCAAAGAGTAGGTGGACCCACAGCCAACTCCAGCCTAAGGATGGGGGCGGGGTACAACACCCCTCTCCTGGCCTGGGTTGTTGTTTTTTTTTTTCAACTTAGGAGCTTTCTCAAGATACAACAGATGTATTGGTATGTGTCACACCCTCCCTGTAAGGGCAGATCCCTTGGTTCTCCTCCCCACTCAGCTGCTGCCTCCCCACTGCCTCGCTTCTGGGAGCACAGGAGGAGGACAGGCTCTGGCACTGACTTTCAGTGCCCTGGTGCCAGCTGCTTCAGGGGGTGGGCAAGGGCCTAAGTAGGGGTGGCACTGCGTGCGGAAGATGTATGTGAATGTAGTGGAGCCTCTTTTAAGAAAACTTGAAAGCCCTAGTCAGTTTGGCCCAGAGGATAGAGTGTCAGCCCACGGACTAAAGGGTCCTGGGTTCGATTCCAGTCAAGAGCATGTACCTCCCTTAAAGGCTTGATCCTGGCTCTGGCCCCAGGCACATGCGGGAGGCAACCGATCGTTGTGTCTTTCTCACATCGATGTTTCTCTCTGTCTCTCCCGCTCCCTTCCACTCTCTGAAAACTTGATAGTTACACGCAAATAGCAAGTAAGAGTAGTTGTTTGCAATACTTGAAGAGTTGTATAGACAATTAAAAATTTGGTTGTGTTTTAAAAAGCAAAATTAATTGACCCTATGTTTTGTGAACACATTTATCATGTGACTCAAGGTTCATGTCTAGAATCAGAAAATATTCTCTTCAAGTGGGTCAGGAGCCCCTTGCAGGGGCCCTGAGGGAAAACTGCCTTTGGAGGTTTTCTTCAAAGCGGTGCTTTCCTGAGCCCATCTTCACGGCACAAATGACAGGCTGCCCAGGCCCTGCCCGTGGGCTTTAGAACTAGGCTCCCCGGCCCTTTGCCCAGCCCTCTCTGAGAGAATGCAAGTGGTCAGCAGTTGTGCTGAGGAGCTCAAGACCAATCCCTTGGCTTCTCTGCCCATGTGTAGATGGAATGTCCATGTGGCTACCACATTCGGTACCTCAAAACAGGCAGACCCGAGCCTAGCCTGGAGTAACGGGCCAGGTAACCACCTCAAGCTCAATTGCCACAGGGCAGAGGGAGATTTTTTCCCCCCAAAAAGGTTTGTTTCTTTTTGGTACTTGGTGTCTTGTAGACTCTGTAAGGGGAATTAGGTCAAAGTTTCTTTCATGGCTGATGTTTGTCAGGCATCTAATGCGGGTTTGCACAGTTACTGGCCTAGAGCAGTCACCACTCCTTATTTTGGTTTTATTTCCTCTGCTCTGAGACCTGGAGATGGGGGTGGAGAGCAGTGAGTGGGTCCTGGGCCAGACTTTGAGGGGCTTCTGGGATGAGTAAGGCATCATTCCTTAGGGAAACACAGGCTTTTGAATATGCAGGACTGATGATCTGGTACAAATCCTCATCTCAAAAGGAATACGAGGCCACATTGCTCTTGTGACCCCTTCCCTGGGCTACACTGAGAACCTGTGGCCTAGAAAGCTGATGAGCCTTTTGCTATTTAGATGAACTGTCCAGAATGGGCAAATCTATAGGGACAGACAGTAAATTAGTAGTTGTCAGGGCCTGGGAGAAGAGGGGTGTGAGGATGGACTCTAATGGGGTTGCTTTTTGGGGTGATGAATATGTTCTGGAATTAGATAGTGGACACAGTTTTTCTACCATATGAATATACTAAAAGCCCCTGAATCATACACTTTTTAATGGTGAATGTTATAGTACATGAATTACATCTCAGTACAGGGGGAAAAAACACACCTGAGGCTCTTGGCTCTTATAGGGACTCGGGACTATTTCCCTGTGTCTGAGCACTATAGCCTTCCTGATACCTGGGTGTGCTTCAAGCCAGGGAGTCAGGCATCAGCTCCTGGGTGGAGGAGCCCAGCTAGGCAGTGGACTCATGCTGGGGCTCCTGGCCATTTGGCTCACATTCCCTGACTCCAAGGTCTGAGGTCCAGGTGAGGGCTGTGCAAACAAGTCCCCGGGGAGCAGGAGGTGAGGGTGTGAGCAAGACGAGCATAGGAAGGAAGTGCTGCTGACACATGGCCAGCGTATCCAGGGGAGCTCTGCAGAGATACACCCACTCAGCCCGCCACACCCCGCAGAGAGAGCAGCAGGGCCTTGTTAGGGAGGGTTACTGATGGTCCATCACCAGCTCTGGTTAGAGTGAAGCCTGTTAGAAGGGAGGCTGGCACCAGGCTGAGCACCTAGGTGCTCTGCCTCTGGGAGCACCTGGCCGAGTGGAGAAGACTCCCTCCTGGCTGGACAGTGCTGTCACAAAAGACCCAGCTGGGAGCATGCTGGGCAGAGCGGATGCAGGAGGGTCTGCTGAGCAAATTCCTAAGGCACAGTTGTCCGACAGGTGAAGACAGAGGGACTGGCAGGCACCTGGGCTCCTCTCCAGATATCCCCGATTTCCCACTTCTCCACTTCAGTCACCACCCCCCAAGCCCAAGCATCTCCATCCCTCACCCAGATGGCAGTAGCAGCCCCCTCCAGGGTCCCTCTGCACCTGCCCCCACCCTAACCCTTACCCTAACTGCCACTCCAGGCTCCACATAGCAGCCAAAGGAGTCCTTTAAAAACATAAATTAGCCCTAGCCAATTTGGCTCAGTGGATAGAGCATCTTCGGCCTGCGGACATGAAGGGTTCTGGGTTCGATCCAGTCGAGGGCACATGCCCGGGTTGTGGGCTCGATCCCTAGTAGGGGGCATGCAGGAGGCAGCCGAGTGATTCTCATCATTGATGTTTCTATCTCTCTCTACCTCTCTGAAATCAATCAATAAAAATATATTTAAAAAACAACAACATAAATCAGATCCCATCTCCCACCTGATTAAACCCTACAGTGGCTTCCCATTGCTCATGGAATAAAGTCCAAACCACTCACCACAGCCTGAGTGCCTGGGTGGCCAGCACCTGATCACCCCTCTCATCAGCACCATACTCTTCTCTCCCTAAATAGCAGCCACTTCAGTGTCATGATAAGTTTTACAACCAACGAGAATCTTTTTCACCTTAGGACCTTTGCACTTGCCCCTCAGCTTGGAATTCTTTCGCAGCTCTTAACATAGCTACACCTTTTTCATTCCTCATTCGTGGCTTAATTCAAAGGTCGCCTCCTCAGAGAAGCCTCCTTTGGTACCCTCTGTCATGGCCATGGGCCTTGGCTGCCTACCCTCACAGCCTCTCTGGCCAAAGATGGCCCTGCTTTATGATGCACTTGCCATGCTCAGACCAAAGATAGCTCATCCATCAAAAGTATCTCAGCCTGCTCTGGCCAGGTGGCTAAGTTGGTTGGAGCAT